GACGACCGGCCCCTGGAGTTCGTCGAGTTTTGCGGCGCCTGCGATGGCACGTGCTTTTTGCTCCGTATGATTATACCCAACAGTAGGTTCGGCCGAATCGACTTCTTGTCCAGACCTAGAGGTGACACACAATTGATAAACAAATGGCCAAAAAGTTAAGATAGTAAAGCAAATACCGGGCCCTTCGAAGGGTAGCAACACGTCCGGCACGTCCTTATTCCTCGGCAGCGGCAGTATATAGAAGTCTTTGAGACCACCGCTGCCGCCGACCACACCGTAGCGGCCCCTGGAGTCCAAGTACTCGAAGAAGGCGTCGTAACCGATGCGGTCCTCTTTGCGCGACACGAACTTCACTAAACCGATCTCCGATCGCGAGCTGTACTTCAGTTTCTTCACGTAATCCAACACTTGTTCGGGTGCTATGCGGCCGCACACGGCTATCGTGTCCGTCACGTCCTAAACACACAAAACACCACAACTTATTAAAAAACATCCAAAAAATACTAGAAAAAAACTTTTAAAAACCCAAACAAACCTGAGATAAATAGTCGACTGCAGTGCCGCTCACTTTGACGGCGTTGGCCGCAAACTTTGCCACGTCTTGCATGAATATCGTGCCCTTCCAGACGGGCCGCGAGGCCGACGAACTGCTGGGCACTTCCGGCGACGACAGCGACACCGTAGAGGTCGGCTGTTCTTGACTGTTGTCGTCGGTGTCGGCGCTGGCCGTGCGCTTCAGCGCCGACTTAGCGGTGGCAACGGTGGCGGCCGTCGCCGCTGCGGCCGCCGATGTGAGTTTCTCCGCCTCCAACAGTATCTTATTGGCCGACTCCGAGTCCACGCGCACTCGTTTGGGCGTCGGTCGAGGGGTTGTCGTCGCGCCCTCCGAACCCAACCGAGACGAGTGATGACCTGATTTGGAGTCACTTTTGCCAGTCGTGTCGTCCGTCTGTTTATTCAAACAGATGCGACAGTTGTTGGAGAAGAGGTGCTGTCGGTGTTGGGATGTGGTGTCGACGCTGGAGCCGCCCATCAGGTCGTCCAGCAGTGTCGAGACACCCGACGTGGAGGTAGTGGTCGGTGTCGACGCTTTGCTGTCATCTGTCAAACATAGCGTAAACAACAAAATTAATACACAACTCATGGCTAAACCGGTGATCGCTGGTCAACAGCACCGGTAACAACAACAACAAACACATACCCGGTTTGGCCTCATTGGCGGTCTCGCCGACGATACCGCCGCTCTCAATCAGCTCTTCGCCCTTATGGGTCTTTTTGACAATCACTTGATTCACTTTGTCGGCGGCGTCCCTCTTGATGGCGTCCAACATCGAGATCTTCTCCCTTTCCCTCCACTTCGCTAACTCACTGCTGGCCAACTCGTCGGCCGACATCTGCACCAGTCGTTCGGGCGATATCTTCCCGTTGACCACTTTGCGGAACAATCCCTGATTCTTCGTGTCCTTCAGATTGAATAGCAACGATCGGTATCGGTTCCGGTATTTACCGCTCGTGTCCTTATTGAACAGTTTGAACAGCTCTTCTTCGATATGATTGGCCGTCTTCTGGATGTCGGATGAGCTGACAAGTGTCTCATTCGCTTCCTTGCATCTGTTATTTATTGAACGCATAGCACATCACAAACCAAAACCATTGATAAAATGAAATGATAATTAAAAACATAATCATAATTAAATTATAAAAACGTAAGTTTTTTGTGTTGTTTTTTTTCAGTGCAAACAAAATAACGATTAAAAAAGTTTGGAAAAATCATATTAAAAAAGTATTTAAAGTCTTCTATTAAAGTGATGTTAAAATTCAATTAAATCACAATTAAAACCAAATAAATAAATGACCGAAAAATAAGACCAAATAATCAAAGAAAAGACAAAACAAATAGTTTTAATCAAAAAATGTGAGCCGAAAAACGCGAACACAAAACAGTGGACACAATACCTGTTAATGAGTGTGTCCTTCAAAGTCGTCCGCACATTGGCCCGAATCGGATCCGCGCCCTCGAAGTCCGCACCACTTCTACTATTGCTTCTACTAATCGGTGTCCTATTCTTCTCGTCAGACCTACTATTCCTCTGACTCTTTTGCGGCGACAGAAGCGGCGACTTAGCGCTCGACGACTCGTCCTTCTTCTTAGACGATGAGGTGTTGGCGTTGGTAGTGATGGTCGTGTCCTTCATCGACGACGACCGGAACAGTTCGTACGTCTGGTTACTCTTAATATAGTCCAACACTTCGCGCTCGGGTATCGCCTCTTTGCCTGAGAGGAGGCGACCGCTGGACTTCTCGACCACCACTACTCGGCGGTCGAGCTCTTTGATAGCACGGCTGGAGCCGGAGTCGGACCGTTCGCGCCGGTGAGCGCGCAACACCTTCAACATGTCCGACACGTGAGTGTCGATACACTCTGTGTTGCAGTATATGCTGAGCGCCGGGTTTGTGGCCGTACGGCCGCAACCGGCCGGACACTGGCGCTCACTAATCGACACTCGGCGCGAGTCAGAGGACTGTTTGCGGCCGAACGGTGTCTGCGGGCCGGGAGTGGCCGGCGTGGAGGGCGGCGTTGTGCCCGTCGACATCTGTTTCTTAATCGGTTCCGCTTTGAACAGATCCTGAACCGAGAAGTCGATGGCGTCTTTGTGTTTCTTTTTGGTCTCCGGTTTGCGCACGATTTGCACCACTTTCGAGATGGAGTCCAACTCGGATGCTGCGCCACCGCCGCCGCCACCACCGGATCCGCTGTCACTCTTGCGGCGCCGTTGGGAACCATCTTTGGCCGATTTTTTGGCCATTTTCTTATTGAGATCCTTTTTAGATGATTTGATCAGTTTCTTCAGTTTCTCCGACTCTTCAGTCTCGAGCCGCAGATGGAGTTCGCGTTTCTTCGGCGGCATTTGCGATATCGATAACTTTTTGGCCAAAATGGCCGCCGCTGTAGCGCCAGGCGGTTGGGCCGCGGCAGCGACCGCCGCCGACCCAGCGTTGGGCGACTTTGTCGGTACCGCCGATGACTTATCACCGGACGATTGCTTTTGTGCGCTTCGTTTGTTTGTCTCAGTGCCGGCGCCGCCGCCTCCGGTCGAGTCTCGCCGGCGATCGCGATGTTTGGCCGCGTTTTCGAGTCGCGTCTTCTCGCGCTTCAGGAACTTCTCGCGTGCGATGCGTTTGGTCTGAGCCCTGACGCGCTCGTCGGCCTCCAGTTTGGTCCGCTTGGCGTCCGCCAGTCGCTTGAGCTCATCCCGAGGCACACCGTCGCCGATGCCCTTCACGCACGTCGGGCACAACCACTCGCGGCCCTCCTTTTCCATCACTCGACCTTCAATTAGACAAACAATAAGACAATTAATATACGATTAAATAAATTTTAAAAAAACATTAATCTTAATGTCTTAAGAATTATCAGTGAATAAATTAGTGGTAAGAGCTGTTTATCATCCCATGTAATGATATATACAGATAGCAAATACTTTTATTCATCACAAACAACGCTTTTTGAGGTTTATTGAGCCGTAAAAAATGGCACTTAATTATCACTGGAAGTGGTAAAAGAGTGGTACAAACCCTGTTGTTTGGTCACATTGACACACTTCCCGTGGAACCACTCGTCGCACGAATCGCAGCCAATCATAAACCGTTCGTCGTGTGGCTGTCGACAGAAACACCTTAGAAGTGGAAGAATAACAGATAATTAGACACAAAACGACACAGAAATCAATTGATTCAACAAATAGAAATCAGTGGCAAACAAACGGAGGTAATGACAGTGAATATCAACAGCTGATATACAAATAGCAAATACTAATTCATCACATTATGAGACAAATCAATATCGAAGAATCAATTGAGTGATAATATAAAAAACAAAACACTGACCACAACTTGTCCGGATCGTCTTCGGAGCCAAAGTCGGAACCGCTCTCATCGTCGTCGCCATCATCTATGTCTTCGTTAGGCGACGATATCTGGGAATCATTGGCCTGAAAATCAAAACACAATTAAAATCACACACAAAAAACAAAACCCCAAAAACAATCCATCACTCGATAGTCTGCCTCTCGAGACATACCTTCTGGCGTTTGCCATCAGCCGACTCGTTGTTAGTAGTCTTGTCCGCCAAATGCCGTTTTGCGGCCGCATTATTACCATCGGAACCGCTCTTCGCGGGCGTCGCTTCACTCTCACCGACAGTCGGTTCGCCGCCGCCTTCGGACTTGAGCTGATTCTCGGCCAAAATACCCAACTGTCCGCTGAAGTCGACCTCCACTTCGTCGTCGTCCCAGCGTTTCGGCTTACGTCGCGTCCGCTGCTGTCGGGCCGACTCGCGCGGTGTCAACGACTTGTCGCCGGCGTCCGTATGCCCTCTGCTATCGTCTTCGGCGGCCGAACCCTCGGCCTCTCTCAACGCAGCGATCACGTCGTCCAACTCAGACGTCTCAGCGGCGGCGGTGGCCGTAGGTTTGTTCAGTGGTGCGGTCGCTGTCGTCATGTGATGGCCGCCACCACCGCTACTCTTGCTATCATCACCGCTGGCGCTGGTCTTCCGTTCCCTGCCATCCATTCGCGCCTTTTTATTGGTCGGCGAGTCTATAGCGCACACATCAGCCAATCGTTTAAAAATGATTTGTAGTTTCATTTATAATTAAGTGTTTGGTTTAAAATTAGTCAATAATATAGACATTAAACGGCAGACTCTCGTTATAGTGAAGCACTCAATCATATCTACAATAACTGTTCACTTAAACGACGATATGATTATGAATTGGTACAAAAAACGAGTTAAAAACACAAACAGTTATTTGCATCCAAAAACACAATAGTTTTGTTCACTATATCGAGAGTACACTACAATATAACGTGAAAACTAAAAACCAAAAATAAAGTCACATTTTTAGACACATTTCTAAAGTGAAAAACACATTTCCAATCATTCAAAAACCACACATACTTTACTCCCTTATAATGTACTCGATATCTATAGTATTATAAAAAGCATTTACAATACAAAATGCTATTTACTTTTATCTAAATTTACTTTTACTTTACATATCACTCTCTCATTGACAAACAAATTATCACTTTATTTGTTCAATCGTAAGCATTCAAAACACAATCAAACTCTGTTATAATGAACTCCTGAGCCTATTATCAAACGATATGATAAAAACTTTCATTTTCCACATTCTCTCTCTCTCTCTCTCTCTCTCTCTTTCTAACGGCTATTTATAATAGCATTTAATCTAATCATTACTTCCATAGGCTTAACACTTACTATAAATAACATATCAATAAAAGTCTATCAAAAAAAATATCATAAAAATTATAACAAAATAATTGTATGTTTTTTCTGAACAAACATTTAACAGATATTTGAGAACAACATTAAAAAAACATAAATAGGTTTTCATTTCACACTTAATTTTATTATCATTTCATTCACACATTAAATAATTTAAAATTAATTATAATTTTTTATAGTTTTACTTCTAATTATTATAAAACACATACCATTTGTGAGTGATTTTTGGCGTTTATTGTTACGTTTGCCGCTATTATTACTACTATTGCCACCAATTGTCTTCTCCTTAGACTTCTTGTCAAAGTCGATCACCAACTGGTCCTCATCCGTGTCTTTGGTCTCATCGGTGGCCGTCGTCGCCGCGCTGGCCGTCGATGGCGTCAATGGGTGTGACGTATCCGTTGAACTCGATTTAATCGGCGACTCCTAATGGATCCCAAGAGACAAAGCATATCATCAGTTAATCCGTATTTGTAGACAACAGCGCAAGAACTTCGGGTAAAACACAATAACAATCGTTTAATTTATAAAAACCATAACTAAAATAGCAATTATAATCATAAGAAAATTTATTTCAACAATTAAAACAACAGTTCTGTGAACACAACCCGTGGGATCAGCTCTATTCAAGCGGTACTAAACCACTTCATGCCAAACACAATGAGTCACTACTTATACAGACCATTATCTCCTTTTCCCGTTTCAGCATTTCCTGGTTCTCGGCCTTAATCTTCTCGACCATCGACTTCTCGAACCGATCGATCTGTCGCTGCGATCGTCTCGACGCCGGCGGTGTCTTCGGCGACGACGACTTGGAGAACGTCGGCGTACCTAATGGTGAGTCGGGCGGCACTCGTGTGGGCGACGGCGATGTGGCCGTCATTGTAGACGAAGAGTTATCGTTGAACGAGACGAACGAGTTGGCACTCGTGGCCACCGGTGACGCCACTGTTGGTGGAGTGGCCGCGACAGGTGTGGCCACCGTAGGGGCGGCGACAGCGACGGCCGAAGTAGCACTGGTTGTCGATCTATTCACCGATAGTGTCGTCTGTTGTTTATGTGGAGAGAGTTTTGTAGCACTGGTTGTACTAATTGTAGTATTGGTGGTCACGCCCACCACCGGCTGGTGTTGATCACCGATCAATGTCTGACTATCGCCGGCCGTTTCGGCCGCACCTGATGTCCGATTACTACCGGCGGTGCCGACCGTACCATCACTTACACCGGCTGTTGAGTAATAGTCACACGTTTGACAGTAGTTATGGTCCATAAGCACCACATCGAAGGGCTGCAAACCGGTGGCCACAGCCGTCGTCGTCGTCGGCAACGGTAGTGGTGGGCAGTCGTCGGGCGGACAGTCGCCGGACTTGTGGCCGTCGGCGCGGTTCAGATTCTGGACGAGATGGTCGAGTGCGTCGACCAAATCGATGCCCTCTTGCATTGTGGGCGCCGAGTGGCAGCTGTTTGGGTCGCCGTCGACACCGCCGCCCGAGTGGTGGTGACCGCCGGGCAACAGGTCGGCGAAGTGTGCC